AATGGGGGGGGGGGAGTGTGAATGAGTTTGAATATACTGATTTTCAGGTGGAGTGTTCAGGGGTAGATGCCCATCACAAGTCTGAACATGAGCACTGATTAACAAGTATTGAACATTTTCAATATGCAACCACTATGCATTCTCTCATTAAATCTTCCCAGTGACAGGATTGGGGAACCTTTTTCCTGCCAAGGGTCATTTGGATATTTATAACATCATTCAAGGGTCATACATAATTATCAACTTAAAAACTAGCTATGAAAAAAGCTCCTGGATTTATTGAATTTCAAGTCACGCCTGCGGTTGTGTTGGCAGGGCCAGACCAAATGATTTCACGGGCCGGACGTTCCACCCCTAAAGTATATAAAATCATTATCCACGTTACATATGAGGAAATCCAAGTCCCTCTCAAAAAAGTTAAGTAACTTGCTCAAGATCACAGTGCTAATAAGTGGTAGGACGAGGATTCAAATTCAGGTCTTTAATAGCAGAGGCAATGTTCTTAAAACCTGCTGTTATTGTTCAGGAAATGTACACTTGGGAGCTATGGGCTTGAAAAGAGGACACTGGCAAGGTATCTGAAAGAGATGGGAGGATCCCAAACAAAAACAAGTCCTGACTTCCACCAACCAAATTTAGTGCAGGTTATCAACACAAACAACTCCTATAAAGATGCCAAGACCGCCTCAGTCCTCCCATTCCTTGGGGAGACAAATAACAGGGAATCCTGCCCAGCCAGCATGGCTCAGCAGTTGAGCATCTACCTTGAGGTTCGATTCCTGGTCAGGGCACATGACCAGGTTGTGGGTTCGATCCCCAGTGGGGGGCATGTAGGAGGCAGTGACTCTCCTCATCACTGGTTGACTGTCTGTTTACTGGGCTATTTTCATTCACACTACTATTCCTTTTAAATTTCTAGCTTCCCTCTCTCCCTGCCACACCAAAAGTCCCTACAAAAAGGCAATTTTACCAGACACAGCCATAGTGTCATTGATCCATGCAATTGAAAAGATCCAGTCCTTGTGACCATCCTTGGAGAGGAGGGAATGACAGGTACATAGAGGGGAGAAAGAAAAAAAGAGGAAATTAGTAAAACAAGGATTACAATGTACACTCTTGAAAAGCATACAAGTCTGACTGAAAATATCTTTGTAAAAATTACAACTCTGATCTCTGGTGATTTCAACCCATTGGTATGACCCCATGATCTTTGACTTCTGTCTTGAGGAGCTCAAGGCTGGAATAAAACTGGCATTCCTGTGTACAATAAGCATGTCTAGTAGATACACAGCTCTGGCCTTCCATCTCTAGATGTCCTATTTGGGGCTCCTACATACAATCACGCACCTCTCATCCCTCCAACATCGTCATATACTCTCCCTGGGACAAGAGTTATAACTGTCCTCTTTGCTGTTCCTTCTGTCTGGAACTGTCTTCCTCTAGACATCAACATGGCTTGCACTCTCATTTCCTTTAAGTCTCCCTGCTCAAATGTTTTTCAATTATTGCTTATGTACAATATAAGTTTTTTTTCAATTATAGTTTACACTCAATATTATTTTTTATTAGTTTCAGGTCAAATGTCATTCTTATCAATGAGGCCATCTTCTGAAATAGCATTCTCCATACTTTCTATTGCTTTAGCCTGCCTTTACTCTTCTCCATGGCATTTATCAACTCTGACATACTGCTGGTGAGTATTTATTGGTTTATATGGTTTATATATTGTTTCCCTTCACTAGAATACAGGCTTCAAGAGAATAGGAGCTCTATCTGTTTTATTCACTGCTGGGCCCCAAGTGTCTAAAATAATGCCTGGCCTTAGAAGGCTCACTAAATAGTTGCTGAATGAATGATTTAATAATCTTTGCTCTCTGACTATGGGCAGTAGGATATGTGGAAACTGGACTCAAACACTAACCCACTGCTACCAGCCTCTGAGGCACACTGCCCGTTCCTTCATCAAACAAATACTCTGTCAATATGCCTGATACTCCCTATGGGGAGTCCAGTCCCCATTTCTGAAATCTCTACCCCCACACCTCACTCCCATGCCCCAAGAGTCAGCAGAAAGCTACAGGAAACTATCCCTTCTGAGGGGGCTGTGGGAGAAGGGTCCATGTGACCTACTGGGCTGTGTTGAAAAAGAAGGCTACCTCTTAGCTACAATTATTGGAGAAACTTACATCCCCTACACACACAGGATCTAGTGTAGGCAGCCGGTAGATGGCAAGACTGTTGGGGTTGTCTCCTCCAGTGGCTAACAGTGTTCTAGAGGGATTCAGCTCGATGGCATGGATACCACAGCCCTGCTGGGTTATACCTCCAGGCTCCCGGTCCTTCAGAATGGGAATCTTGGTGATCTGGCTGGTCTGGATATCCACTACAAAGAGCTATAAGAAAAAAGGGATATAAGCTGAATAGTTTCTCTTTAATGTGGCTAACCCTGAATACAAACATCCACTATCCATCAAACATTTAATTAATGCCTACTACATGCTAGATACTGGGAATTATTAAAGCCATCAGCAGGGCTACTTGTCAATAAGAAACATGAAAATAATATAACAGAGACAAGTACAATATGCTACATGAATGCAGATTAGGAAACAGTAAATTTTGCTTGGGATTCAAAGACAGCTTTAAAGAGGACTTGCATTAGACAGACTATGGACCTAAAGAACCTGACCAGCCCTGGCCAGGTAGCTCAGTTGGTTGGAGTGTCATCCAGGTACACCAAGGTTTGGGTTCTAGCCCCAGTCAGGGCACATACAAGAATCAACCAATGATTCCAACAAAAACTACAAAACAAAAACAGGCCCTACTCTGAAACTCCTTCAATTCGAAATTACTGAGTATGAGGTCAGTAAAACTGAATTTTCCCCAAGAATCTCCAGGACACTCTGTTTACAGCCGAGGTTTGACAGTCACTGATCTAGATAGACCCTTGTTATTCAAAGGAGCACCTGGGAGCTTGTTAGAAACAATCTCAGGCCCTGCCCTAGATCTAAGTCAGAACCTGGAATTTCCCAAGATCTCTAGGTCTGCTGAAGTTTGAGAAGCACAGATGTGAAGAGAATCGGCTCTGTACACTGAGGGCAATGAGTTTGATAAAACATAAGAGAAAACTGACCTGCAACCTGCAAAGATCTGAGTTTCTCCTGTGGAAACTGAGGGCTGGCTAAGACTTTTAAGAATTATTTTAGCCTAGCCGGGCGTGGCTCAGCAGTTGAGCGTCGACCTAGGATCCAAGCAATTGGGGTTCGATTCCCAGTCAGGGCACATGCCCGGGTTGCTGGCTCGATCCCCAGTCGCGGGCGTGCTGGAGGCAGCCAATCAATGACTCTCTCATCATCGATGTTTCTATCTCTCTCTCTCCCTCTCCTTTCCTCTCTCTGAAATCAATAAAGGTATGTTTAAAAAATATATAAAATTATTTTAGTCCATTCCTTTGCCATTCTCTCCACTTCTGCCATCCTTTAGAAAAGGTGAGGAAAAAGGTTTCATCTATTCATATTCAAGAAAACCTAAAGTCCAACCTCTGCAGTTTTGGAGTTGGGAGAGATCTAGGTTTGAATTCCAAATTGGTTACCTATTAGCTGTGATCTTGGGCAAGTCACTTAAACTTTCTGAATCCTGTCATCTATAAAACTTGAATATTATCTCTCTCATAGGGCTGCTAAGAGATCAAATAAAATATAAAGTGTTTAGCACAGGGCTCAGCACAGAATAGGTGCTTAACAAGTGATAGCTAATAATAATATACCATGTTCATGTTTGTTTAGTTTTGCTAGGGTATAAGAAAAGCTTCTACACTGGATGAAAAACATTTGATATAAGGGCGATGGAAAAACTGGTAACAGTTGGGTCTGCAGAGGGCCTAGGAAACCAAGAGTTTACCCCCAACCTCACCTCATCTTTGCATAGGAATGACAAAGCACCATGTGAAGGAGAGAACCCTTTTCCTTCTTCAAAGGAAGGTACAGTGATGTGGAGGAGCTGCCACAGAATATCTCCCCAAGCTCTCTGACAAGGGGCGAAGGCTTCATGCAGCTCCTGTAACACTTCCTAGAATGGGGCTACTCTGCATTAACCTACTGGGATCCCTGCCAGAAACTAGCTGCATGGCAAGGTAAACTTGAGGTTCAACGGCTCCCTGCAGTTTACATTCAAGAACAGAGGGGGCGGAAAGAAAGCAAAGGCCTTACAGTCAGGAAGATTCTAAGACTAGTGAGTACATCTCTGCATGCATTAATGTGTATGTAGATGCATGCAAATATGCGTACAGAGATCAATGTGGCTTAATAAAATGGTGGGGCTCACAAAGTTTCTAAAACTCAAAGAATGTTTTAGCTGGAGCCTAATGGAGAAAGGAAAGCAAATCCACATAGGTAGCACAGACTTCAAGATAAACTCTAATGAGTCAGACAGTAAAACACAAGTGGGCAGCCCATTTGCTGAAAGCTGGGGAAAGGAAACAACTGAAATCAAAGAAGAGGAATCCATTCCGTATTCCAAGCCCAGAAGGTGGGGAGCAAAGCAGAGAGCTAAGACCAAGAAACACAAGAGAAAATGGTCAGACACTACATATCAAAAATTTAAAATGTGTAAACCTGCCTGGCCGGTGTGGCTCAGCAGTTGAGCATCCACCTTTATGATCCAGGAGATCACAGTTCGATTCCCGGTCAGGGCACATGCCCGGGGTTACTGGCTCGATCCTCAGTAGGGGGCACGCAGGAGGCAGCCAATCAATGACTCTCTCATCACTGATGTTTCTATCTCTCTCTCTCCCTTCCTCTCTGAAATCAATAGACATATTTAAAAAAAAAGTGTGAACTCTGCAGTTTCAAGAATTTATGCTAAAAAAATGATGACAGGTGAACAGTTTTAATTACAGTGCAGCAATTTTAAACTAGTGAAACAGCACAGGGGATTGGGTAAAGACACATTCTTACTTCCTGACCATTACGGCACAAAGACTTAACAACAATATGGTATGTGCATGTGCCCACTGAGAAGCAAGATGTCGCTCTCTCTAGAGCGAGAGGAGAGGGAGAGAGAAAGAAACACTGATGTGGGAATCAATCGGCTGCCTCCTACACGCCCCCTACCGGGGATCAAGCCTGAAACCTGGGTATGTGCCCTGACTGGGAATAGAACCAGCAACCCTTTGGTGCACAAGATGACGCCCAACCTAGCCACACTGGCCAGGGCTCTCTAGGTGCTGTTTTGAGCTCCAAAAAACACCTTGTATGACAGAAAAAGGAAATTCCTTTTGCTGTATATCCTATCACTGTATTTTCAAGTCCCTATTTCACTCCCTCTCCCCAGAGAAGATGTATAATATATAACTGTTCAACTTTTATCAGTAACAAGACAAGCAATGAATGGTAACTGGTCAAGGCCACTTTCACGATTGCATTAGGCCAGGGGTGTGGAACATTTTTTCTGCCAGGGGCCATTTGGATATTTATAACATCATTCTTGAGCCATACAAAATTATCAACTTAAAAATTAGCCTACTAGCCCGGCTGGGCATGGCTCAGCAGTTGAGTGTCAACCTGGGATCCAGGTGATCGGGGTTCGATTCCTGGTCAGGGCACATGCCCAGGTTGTGGCCTCGATCAATGACTTTCTCATCATTGATGTTTCTCTCTCTCTCTCTCCCTCTCCTTTCCTCTCTCTAAAATCAATAAAGATATATTAAAAAAAAAAAAATTAGCCTGCTATATTTGGTCAAACATTAATTCACCCCTAATGTGATAGCTGGAACTGCTTCTTTGGTGAGGCCTTGGCAGGGCCAGACCAAATGATTTTGGGGGCTGGACATTCCCCACCCCTGCTTTAGGCTAAGGAAAAACAAGTTTTATCTAGCTGAAGTAACATTTAAAAAAAATAAGAGTTCAGCCCTGGCCGGTTTGGCTCAGTCATTAGAGTATTGGCCCACAACTGAAGGGCCCCCCAGGGTTCGATTCCGGCCAAGGGCATGTACCTTGGTTACCGGCTGGATCCCCGGCCCCAGTCGGGGTGCAAGTAAGAGGCAACCAATCGATATGTCTCTCTCATATAGATGTTTCTCTCTTTCTCTCTCTTCCTTCCACTCCCTCTGAAAAGCAATGGAAAAAATATCCTTATGTGAGGATTAAAAAAAGCCTCAAATTATAAAAAATAAATTAATAAAATATTGCTAAACAGCAGGTTACTATCTTAATTACAAAACATAGATGGATATATAAATAAGCATACTGTTAACCTGAGCTGTACATTTGGCAGGGCCCAAGGAATTCTGCAAGCATTTTAAGGCATTTTCTAAGAGGCTATAATCCCTTTGGGAAAATAAAATAGTAAAACAAGGGTGAATGAATAAAAAATCTGGTCAGAGCAAAGCTCCCACACTTCACCATATTTTGTTTCCTTGTGTCCTGAATTGAGTTACATATTCTGATTTTATTATTTCAGGAATCTGAATATGTAAGCTCAGCGATACAATATTATAGCTATTCTCTCAACCCTGACATCTACCATGCCACCCCACCCCCAAAATTAGGCTCCTCAAAGTTCTTCTTCCTCTCATTGGCAGCAAATTGCAGCCCAAATTCATTTGCTTCATTAAGATCCACCAAGTCTATCTGTGAAGTCTTTACTACTAAGAATCCAACATGAACGCCTCCTCCCCCAAAATCTTCACATACTATCTACAGACAATTCTAATTGCTTAAATAATTTTCTTTTCTCTCAAACTGAGGGGANAAATCTTCACATACTATCTACAGACAATTCTAATTGCTTAAATAATTTTCCTTTCTCTCAAACTGAGGGNTATCTACAGACAATTCTAATTGCTTAAATAATTTTCTTTTCTCTCAAACTGAGGGGAGTCTCAGGGAGTGCCAAAAGCATTGGAAAAGACTTTGGATTCACTAGCACTAATACTATTTTTGAGTAAGATATTGCTCACTTGAAGTATTTCCCAAGATATCCACATCACCTTCTCAGCACTCAATATTACCACTCCCATTTTAAAGATAGGGAAACAAAGACACAGCTAAGGGAATCATTTGCCAAATGTCTCAATGTTCAGAGAAGAGCAGTGTTCCTGGTTCCCTGCCTTGCTTCTGGAAGCTAAGCAAAAAACAAAACAAAAAAAACACAACTAACTATAAAAAAAAATCAGACCCCCGCGTAAGGTCATGAGGACATAGGAAGGCAGAAAGAGGTATGTGTTAACAGTAGGAACATTATTACTTAATATTACTCTCACCTTCAAAATAATAAGAGCCAGAAGCAGGACACTATCATGATTACTTGAATTTACAATTCAGCAACATTTGCTAGGCAAAACACTATAATGGTATGTGTAGGGAGTGGAATTAATTTCTCCAAATAAGAGACTCTTTCTACTCCAAGTGACAATGATGACAGCCTGAGAGACTAGAAAAATGAAGTTTTGTAGAGGCTTGCCACAACTACATAGTTTTGAAAGGCTTCTGTATGACAAGTAGCCTTCAACAGAAGAGGAAATGAAAGCCTGGCCCCAACCACCATGGTACTATTTATTTCCTTCCTTATTATGTTAAATCTTTGCCTATGTCCTTTATAAACAAACACTTCTCCTAGTACCTAAGACTTTCTTTCTCTTTCTTCTTTTTTTTAAATCTTCACCAGAAGGTATTTTTTCCATTGCTTTTCAGAGAGAATGGAAGGGACAGAGAGACAGAGAGAAATATCAATGTGAGAGACATCAATTGGTTGCCTCTTGCACATACTCCAGCCCGGGCCGGGGCTCAAGCCGGCAACCAAGGTTAAGAGCTCTTAGCCAGAATCAAACCCAGGATCCTTCAGTCATGGGCCGATACTCTAACCATTCAGCCAAACCAGCTAGGACTTAAAACTTTCTTGATCCACAGCAACCATCTCTCTTCCAATTGATCCAAGATATATTTCTGTCCAGGATAAATTTACCCAGCCATTATGACATTACTTGTCTATTCACACAGAATAAGGTGAAAATGGAGAGAGCAGCTAGGCCTCATCTCATCTTTTCTTATAGTTCATTCAGAATCATTTCCCACGTCCAGGCCCTGCCTCTTTTCACTTGCCATTCATCTGACATCATGCTATTTGTGCTCTTCTGTTCCAATCATAACCACCATACCCAATCACAGACTGACTTATTTTATCAATGCCTATAATTATGCTGGTTATACAGGTTACTGATAAATTTTTCCCTTCATTCACTTATAATTGTCTTCTATGTAAAAATACACTTCTACTTATACTTAATTTTTCTTTCTTCTGAATCCTTTTCAAGGAGGCTACTGTGGAAAGAGAAAACATGTACATCCTGAAAGATAACACCAGGCACACATTCTCTGCCTATTCTTATAAGATATACATCTTTAGGTTCTATTCTCTAAAAGTGAATGTCTGCCAAGTGCTCTTTTAAATACTTCTACATATGCCTTTAAGCTAGCAGCTAACACCTAGGTTTTCACTATCATGTATCCTTAATGATGTTCAGTCTTTCCTCTGAGGTCTCTTTCCTCCATCTTTCCTTTGAGATCTCTGACTTAAAAAGCTACGTTAAGTTAAAAAAAAAAAATAATAACACTCTAGAAGCAGTGGCATATCCATATGGCCAGAGGCCTACAGAAACAGGCTCCTCTAAAGATTTATCAGAAATGTAGAATTGGGAAAAGGAACAGAAAAAGAGAGGAAGAAGTCACCAACAGACAGAAGGAAATGGAAAGGAGAGTAAAGCAATCTCCTCCCAAGAGAAACTGATGGGGAAAATGAGCAATGAGAGGTTCTAGACATATGGAGCCATACATCCAGGACCGAGGATAAAGTTCACATCCCCCCAGACACTTACCGTGTTGCATTTTGTGCCACACACCACCTGCCTATGATTCAGCCACTGAGATGCAAACACTTTATTAAGGGTCCCAAGATGAAACTCTCTCTCCTTCAGGAGACTGGGAAGCTGCTGTGCTGCATAACCATGCAACACACGATAGTAGCTGGTTTCATTCTGTAGCCTGACTTCTCGGTTCTTCAGGTAGTACACTAAGGATCTCTTCACTGGGGGAAGTCTTTTCCTTTTGTGAAGGGAGTGATCCCAGCCAAACTGTGGAAAGCAATATTAGAAATCAGGGCTTTGGCTACCTTCCTTCAGAACAAGGGATCCTACGGTATTAGAGAAATCACCCAGAACTCATCCTGCAGGATTTACATGCAACAGAAATACAAGAACAGGAATCTCAACCCAAACCGTCTAGTTTAACTCTTCCAACACTGAAAACATGCTGCTTATAGTCAAACTTACATATGAGAAAGAAGGAATGAGAAGACAAGGGAATGGAAGAAGAGACAAATGAGGCCATAAGGTTTACTAGGCCTTTTAGGAGTGAAAGATTCAGAGACCCTATGTTATACCTGACAGGGAAGGGAATGAGGGGCTGAATGATTACCACACCGACCTGGGCTGCATCTCTCTCTATCCAGCCCTCTTCTCCCTTTCAGCCTGTACTCCCCTCAGAGCATGAAGGATGCAACCCAAGGAGCCAGATTTAGGGTCCCAGGTCTTCCGGGATGCACTATTAATGGCCGCCCCCATGTCACGAGGCCCCGCGCTCCAGGCAGTTGTATAATTCCAAAACCTAACACCAACGGGGTGGGAGGCACGGGAAATCAGAGTCCAAATATCTGAGTCTGAATACGCATCCAACAAGCTCTTCCCCTCCAGAGAGGGTGGTATAGGGATGATACCTGGGAACTACTGTTTGTTCTAAGGGTCCAAGCGCCCGCTCAGGGCTTGGGTATCCACAGCGAGACTCCTTCCTATACTAGAAATGCAATCATCCCTGCTTCCCCGGGCCCTTGTAAGGGGGACTACGTCACACTCTCTATCCCTATCTTCTACGAGGTTTTGTTCCCGATTCCCCTCGACTTCGGATTTCCTTCCTCCAAAGCCCAGATTCTGGTTTCTCCTCAAGACCCATTCCTGGCTGCAGACCTTCCGCAGTAATATGCCCCATTTTCAAGTTCCCCTTTAGCTCCTTACCCCGGCCTATCTGCTCTCCAGTGAACTACTGATGGCCCAGCCCTGACTCTACAGGCCCGGCCTCCGCTCCCCCTACTCCATCCCGACTACAGACCTGGGATCTCTGTCGCGTTTCCCTGATCTGCGAACCCTAGTCCCCTGTGGGTGCCTCGGCCTTACCACCCGAGTCCCAGCCCTCTCAGCCCTCACCTGCGGGCCCTGAGCTTCACTCCCAGCTCCCGGCGAGGCTGGCGCTTTCCGCTTCCTGCTAACTGCTTTCCGGGCCATAGTGGGCAGCGCCGCCGGGGCCCCGCAGCCACATGGGGCGGGGGAAGCGAGGGGTACCAAGACGGCGGGTCATATACCGGGCCCCGGGGCCGTGCACCTTAGAGTGCCCGGCCCGGAAAATGGCCCGGACCCGGGGCGTCAGTAGAAATAGGGAAGCAGGCAAAAGGGAAAGAGGGAAGGAGGACCGAGTCTGGAAAAGGAAAGGGAATGGGAAAAGAAAGCAGAAACCAGAAGCTTCCCGACGACGGAGCCTGGAAAGGACGGCGAGCGGCTAGAACCAAAACACCCCCTCCCCCTCGTCCGCGCGCCGTCACCCTTGCGCAGCCGCAGTTCGCAGCGCGTCGCCAAGGAGACGCCGCCGGGACTAGAGGGGCAGGGTTTAAAGCTCCGAGAAGAGTTCGCGGGCGTTGCAGAGCGGCCGCCGGCCCATTCCCGGTGGTTGTCTGGTGGCCGCTGGAGATAGGCGACCTGAGGCCAAAAGAATCTAGTTTCCAGGCGCCAACTTCGGACCCCCAGGCTTGTCCATCTTCAGGCACCCGGAAGTGAGGACAGCTAACCCCCCTCCGGGAAGAAACCCCTCCCTGCACACGCCTTTACCCGGCAGCCACCGCTGATTATCTCCTTTCTAGCGCTGCAAGTTTTCCGGAACCTGTGGTACCCAGAGCTAGGGCGCCAAGGGCTGGGCCCCGGGAGGAGACAGAATCCTCTCCCCCTATCCCCGATAGATGGAGTTCGGCCCAGAATCCACGCCAGCATGGTCATACTTTCCCTCTTCCGAGAAAATACCCTGCCCGCTTAACCAACCCAGGCGGAC